CCAGGGCGAGTGCCTGCCCACCTGGGACGGCAAGAAGAACCAGACGGTGGCCTCGGACACCAAGGTCCTGGCGATGGTGAACAAGGTTCGGGCGCACGGTGGCGACATCTCCATCAGCTTTGGCGGCTACAACGGCGTCGAGCTGGGTCACGCCTGCAAGAGCCCCGAGGCGCTGGCCAAGGCTTACCAGATTGTCATCGACAAGTACCACCTGACGCATGTGGACTTTGACATTGAGGGCGATGACCTGGGACCGGATGTGGAGGAAAACCGCCGTTTCAAGGCGATTCAGATTTTGAAGCACAACGCCAAGGCAAAGGGAAAGGAGCTTCACGTTACCTTGACTCTTCCCTGCACCACCGTCGGCCTGAGTGATCTAGGAAAGGCGGAAATTAAGCGAGGCATTGCCGTACAGCACGATCTGATTGATCTCTACAAGATTATGTAAGTGAACGGTTTTAAAAAATTAAATTTTGATTTTAATTTTGTTTGTCGTTTTAGGGCCTTTGACTACGGCGGACCCGCCGGCAGCATGGCCTCTAACGTCATTGAGGTGATGGAAAAGGTTCACGCCCAGCTGAAAACTCTCCGAACTGACTTGCACTCCTCAGAGGCAGTCTACTCCCACACCGGAATGATTCTGATGAACGGGCACACCGATCAGCCAAGTGAACTTTTTACCGTGGACACCTTTAGCAAGCTGGAGGAGTATGCTCGCAGCAAAAAGCTAGGTCGACTGAGCTACTGGTCGCTGAACCGAGATCGACCCTGTCCGGCGGGAAAGGTGCTCGGCTGGGCCGCCGGCATGTGCAGCAGCATTTCCCAGAAGCCGTATGACTTTACCAAGGTTATCGCCAAGTTTGCTCACTAAGAGCTAAAATGCAAACTAATAACAATAAAATTTAGTATAATCAATTTTTAAAATGATAAAAAATGTGTTTTTGGTACACTGCAATTTTTCGTGTTTGTTTTTTGTTGTTTGGCAGGTTATCAAAACTTTGTTTTGTGTAAAAAATCATTAACGTTTGTTTTTTAAAAACAAATTAATAAAAAACTGATATACAAAAACTAAAAAAAATTAAAAAATTGTCAAATTTTTTTGAAAAAACAATTTAATGTTACATTCACATTTCATTAAAAATATTATTGTTTAATATATGAAATAAATTACAAATTTAAATAACGTTTAGTAGTTAACTAAATGTTTAACTAATAAATTCATTGTCTAAAAAATGCTCTTCATTATTCATTTTTTTAAAATTTAAATGTGACTTTTCAAAATAATACAAGTTTTTATTTTGTTGTTGTTTTTACAAACACATTTATTTATTGCCATTAAAAATTTTGCATTAAATCAAAAACAAATAAATAACTACTGATTGCAGCATAATATTTTATTTAAATTATAACAAAATTATTCTTAAAAATAACTACAAAATCCCACAATTTTAAAATAAAAAATTACAAATATTATTTTATTTAATTTATAAAAATTGTTTATGTGTATTAGCCAATACAATGACTAGTACACAACAACATTTACCATCATTTTTTACTGTTTTTTTCAACGTGGTTTGCGGCCACGCCTATGACCTGATGACCTATTTTGACCCGGTGGTGGTTGTGGAGTCAGTGAGACCACCAAAAAAATCTACCAGAATTCAGGAAAATCAACCTTGGAACTTTGTATACTTTTTCCCGTTGCTTTTTACCCTTGCTTCATTTCTTTACGGAAATGTCTTGTTGGTGTACATAGAGGAAGGTGACTTAAGTTTGGAGACCCTGCAACGCAGCCCAGTCAGTTTGATGCACCAGGCAATGCCTCAAAGTATGTGGCCTCAGATAGACATAATCTACGATTTAGCTGTTGCAACAGTGCTTCTCAACTACTTTACTTTCTTTAGGCGCCCTTACACTGGAGGGCGCTACGAGGTAGTGGTCAGAAAGAAAAAAATTAAAAATGAAAACAAAAACAAAAAACGGAAAAAACATTCATCAATGAGCATTTTTGGAAAAGGTTTGTTAAAAAGAAAAGATTTTTAACTTTTACTTCGATTTCTAATTTTACTTATATACTTAGCTCTTGTTCCTTTGGTTTCTGATTCAATTCTTACATCACACCGCCTTTTTACCCGTTGGTTTTTAGTTCTTTTTTCTTTATTCTTTCCATTCGGTTTGTTTTTTTGCTATTTTAACATTTTTCTTATTAAACGATGGATGAGTGCTGCTGATTTTATTTTTTGGTTTGTAGTTTTTCCATTGCACATTTTCTACAACTTTTATGGCTATATGGCAGTGCCAGCAGCTGTTATTTTAGGTTCGAAATTTGTTCATCTAAGACAACTAGCACTGCTAAACTCTTTTAACAAACAAGTAAAAAAATCACAAAAAAAGAAAGGCAGTAAAAAGTATTTATTAAAAACTGTTGATCATACATGTTTTTTAAGCCGTTACCTTTTTCTCAACCGTCGTTTGTCTGAACTGGCTGCAGACATTCAACAATTTTCAAGCTATTGGACCACAGCACTTAGCGTTTATTTTACCGGATTTCTTGCAATGCAGTGTTACCTTGCCTACATTGTCTTTTTCATTCCATCTTTAACTTCTTTTTCCCATTTCTTTTTTACCTATGGTTTTTTGGTAATGGAAACGCTTCAGTGGGCACTTATTTTTCAGTGCGCCAAAGTTGCCAAAACAAATGATCGTTTAGAAAAAATAAACTTCCGTTTTTATTTGGCAAACTTTCTCTTTTTCAAGAAAAATAATAAAAATGTTAAAATGACTAAAACTTCCACTTTGCTCAAAGTAGAAGGATTCACAATTTGTCGCCGGTTAAGACCGTATTGTTTACATCTTCTTGACAATTACCGAATTACTACTAAAACCTTTTACGTAGTTATAATTTACACGGCTCTCTTTTTTATGATGCTTCTTAAACGGCAAAAACACAACATTTAGTAATTTTTCTTCAACAAGTTAATTTAAAATTTTGTAATTTGTTCTGTAATAACGTTCTAACGCAATTTAATGATTGCTAACAATATAACTTTTAAAATTAAATGTTAAATGTAAAGTTATTAACAAATTAGAGATGTTTCCTTGCATAAAAATTTCGCTGATTGAACTACAAAATTATAATAATTTATTATTACAAAGTACTTAAAAAGTTTATTAAACAGTGAACTAACAAACTAAAAGTTTAAATAATGAATTAATGTCTAAAAAGTGTTTATTATTAGTCTTTGTTTTAAGTTTGAAAACGGTTTTTAATACTACAAAACATTAACTTTTTTCTATGTAATAAGCAAACACAATTATTTATTGCACATTTAAAATTATGTTTAAAACTAAAAATAATAAGTTTTGCTAAAAGTCAATAAATAACTACAAAATGTTAAATAATTTATTGTTTTATTTGTAACAAAATTATTTTCGCATACAACCAACTGCGAAATTGCTAAACTTAAATATATAAAATTAACTAATTTTTTACAATGACTATAACACAAAAGCAGTTACCATCATTTTTGACCGCCTTTTTTAACGTAGTTTGCAATCACGTTTTTTATTTGTTTACTTATTTTGATCCGGTAGTAGTTGATGTAGGAGTAACAACATCAAAAAAATTTTTCAAAATTCATTTAAATCAACATTGGAACTTTATGTACCTTTTTCCGTTGCTTTTTACTTTTATCACATTCTTTTACGGAAATGTTCTGATGGTGTATTTTGCAGAAAATGATTTGAGTTTGGAGACGTTGCAACGAAGCCCAGTCAGTCTGATGCACCAGGCAATGCCTAAAAGTATGTGGTCCCAAATAGATGTCATTTACCGCCTGGCCGTTGCTACAGTTCTTTTCAACTACCTCACCTTTTTTAGGCGCCCCTACACTGGAGGGCGCTATGAGGTAGTGGTCAAAAAGAAAAAAATTATAAAAGAAGATAAAAACAAACAAAGAAGAAAGCACTCATCGATGAGTATTTTTGGAAAAAGTTAGTGAAAAAGAAACCAACTCTAACTTTTCATTTTTGTATCTAATTTATTATTTTTGTTAGCTCTTCTTCCTTCGGTTTCTGATGCAATTCTTGTTTCACACCGTTTTTTCACCCGTTGGTTTTCTGTTATTTTTTTTGCATTTTTTCTTTTCAGTTTGCTTTTCTGCTATTTTAACGTTCTCCTCAACAAGCAATGGACGGGTGCTGCTGATTTATTCATTTGTTTGGATTATATTTTTTCCTTTGCACGTTTTTTACATTTTTTACGGTTATCAGGCTGTGCCGGCAGCAGTTATTTTTGGTTCACATATTGTTCACCTGAGACAAATGGCGCTTTTAAATGCCTTTAAACAATTAATCATTAGATTAAAAACAAAGAAAAAAAGTGAAAAATATTTAACAAACAATTTTGATCATTCTCACTTTTTACCACGTTATCTCCTTTTTAACCGTCGTCTAGCAAAACTGGCTTCAGACATTAAACAGTATTCCGAATATTGGAGCATTCCTCTTAGCGGTTATTCTTCTGGTTTTCTTGCAATGCAGTGCTATCTTGCATACATTGTCTTCTTTATTCCCTTGTCAAACACGTTTTCACAATTATTTTTTGTTTATAGCCTTTTAACGTTGGAAACTCTTCAGTGGGCACTCATTTTTCAATGTGCCAAAGTGGCCAAAACAAATAATCGTTTAGAAAAAATAAATTATTGTTTTTATTTAACAAGTTTTTTTTCAACCATACAAATAAAAATGTTAAAATGATTAAAGTTTCAACGTTGCTTAAAATAGAAGGTTTTGCGATTAGCCGCCGGTTAAAACTGTACTGTCTGCACCTGTTGGACAATTATCGAATTACTTCAAAAACATTTTACGTGGTCATCATTTACACGGCACTCTTCTTTATGATGCTTTTCAAAAGACAAAAACAAAATTCTATTTGTTTTTAACTCAACAACTTATTAAATTTTTGTATTTTATTTTAAATTAAATAAATATTTATAAATTCAAATTTCTGCTTGTTTACGCAAATGTTCGTACATGTTTTCTCCTGTTTTTTGGCACATTTTGGCAAAAAGTCCCCCTCTTTTTAACAAGGTTGACGGTGCATCAAACTCTACAATTTGTCCTGCTTCCAAAACCTGATAAAAAAACTTTAAAAAGTTTTAATTTTTATAAATAAAACAATTACCATTACTCTATCACAGTCAATAATTGTACTGAGTCGATGGGCCACTGTGAGCACTGTACAGTTGAAAAAATGCTTTCTAATTGTTTTCTGTACTAGAGCATCGGTTTGCATGTCAACGTTGGAAGTGGCCTCGTCAAGCAGCAAAATCTTATTTTGTTCAAGAATTGCCCGGGCTAGTTGTAGCAGTTGCAGCTCTCCGGCACTAAAAAAAGTTAAACTGACTTCTTGATCTAGTTTTTCTTTAAAATTGAAAGATTGTATCTTTTTTGCTAATTCCACGCTTTTAAGAGCCGCCCAAATGCGGTCTTCTGAATGAACGCCAAACGGGTCAAGGTTAAAGCGGACACTGCCGCTGAAGAGCACTGGACGCTGGTCAATGATAGAGATGCTCTTTCGAAGTAAATTTAAGTCTATTTTGGTTGTATCTACGCCATCAATAGAGATGACACTTCCCTTTTCAGGTGTGTACAACTGAAGAAGTGCCCCGACTAGAGAACTTTTACCCGCAGAAGTTCGTCCAACGATGCCCACTTTTTCGCCGCCGTAAATACTAAAGTTGATGTTCCTTAGAACAGGATTGTTGTTGTAAAACAGTTTTAAGTTTTCCACCTTGATGCTGCCTTCTGATGGCCATTCTTTTTCAAGAACTATTTTTTGAATTGAAGATTTTTCCTGCTCTTGCTCTAAAACTTGATACACAACAACCCGTTCCACTGAGTTCATTTGCCCTTCAAGGTCGGCAAAGTTCTTAATCAGCCACTGAATCATGCCCGTCAACGTCAGACCAGAGGTGATGGCCAGGCCGGCTTCACTTCCAGTTATAACTAAAAAACAGATTGTTAATTTTGAAAATGACAAAACTGAAATCATTTCCATTACCTTCGCTAGTCATTACAGTAGTGGTTATTGCAACAACGTAAAGAATCACAGCCCAGTCAACAAAAAGGGCCATTGCTCGGCTGCTGGCCAAGTAGAAGAACCAGAGAGCGCTGTGATCATTTAGATACGAGGTGAATTGCTCTGACCACCGGTTTTCTTTTCTAAAAGCACGAATACTGGTCAAACCATTTAGCGTAGTGGACAGATGCGAGTAGATAGGACTTCTCTCTATAAACAAAAAAATAATCTTAATTTTAAACTTTAATAAAACACTAAACTTACTTAGCGCTTCTACACGTTTAATCTCTCGAATTGCTTGCAAATAGGCCCAGGCAAAGCAGAAAACAGTTAAAAGAAGAATAGATGCCGCTAATAACAACTGCCAGCGGACGATACCTGCGACGGTTATAAAACCAATAATTTGACCGAGAGTCTTCAATAAATAAAAAAGATTAAATATTTTGTGCAAAAAAAAACGTTTTTAAATTTTTCTTACTAAATTTATCTCGTACAGCGTCACCTGTAGCTGCTCATCAACAGTGGCCAGGTCTTTGCCCAGAACATTGAGCACCTCACCTTGAGAGTGAGCGTCAAAGAATGTCATGGTGGCGCCCAGCAATCGTCGAAAAACTGCTTCGTGCAATCTCACAGAAGCTTTCATGCACAAGCGATAAAAGGTGATCGAACGAAGGAAGGTCGTCGTAAAGAGGACTACTATGAGAACAGTGTAAAGGAGAATGTCCGTTTTGTGAGAATAATTTTCTGAGTTGTCGACACTGTTTTTTCTTGTCCAAGAAGCCAGAAAGAGGTCTAGGCTATGGAAAGTAATTTGCGAGATAAAAATAAGAAAAATTTGAATGAGTGCTAGCGGTCCAAAACCGCCACTTGCTTTAAAATATTTTAGGTAAATTGAAAGTTTGGAGATTTGTTGAGGGGGGGTTTGGGTTGTTAGATCTTCAGATGATACTTTTTTTAAATTATCAGTTAATTTATTTTCTTTTTTGAAAAGCTGTTCTGAACTTGATGTTTCTTTTTCTGTTTTATTGTTGCTATTTTTTCCTATGGTTTGTAGTACATCTTTAAGTTTGCCACTTCTTTGAAGTTCATTGTAGCTGCCCACAAACGCTGGTATATCTGGATTTTTGTCATCTAAAAATAGAATTTTGTTTGTTTGCTCAAGAAACTGTAGTTGATGCGTCACCAAAATAGTGGTTTTTCCGTTGAGTAACTCTAAAATGCATCTGTAAAATTAAAAATTAAATAAAGCTGTACTAAAAATAATATTTTTACTTTTGAAAAATGTGTTGTGCCACAGGCGCATCTACTGCCGACAGAGAATCATCGAGCAGGTAAACATCTGCTTGTCGGTAAACAGCCCTAGCAAGGGCCACACGAGCCCGTTGACCACCCGAGAGTTGGACTACTGTTCCCTTACTACTTTGGTTTTCCCCAATGCCAACCATTGTTTGATCGCCCTCCGGTAACTCTTCAATGTCTCGCTGCAAAGCGCACGCCATAATGACTGTTTGATAGCGTTCCGCCTGATATGTTTCTCCAAAAAGGATATTATTGCGCACTGAATCAAAAACAATGAACGCCTCTTGACTGGCATAGGACAATGTATTTTTGGCCATTTTCAAACTCCCGCTTATCAACGGGAGCTCTCCAAGAAGACCAAAAAGAAGAGACGACTAGAATGTAAAGTGTGTTGATATGTAATTTTTGCAACAATGTTTTAAACTTACCTTTCCAGAGCCAACCGGCCCAATCACTGCTAGCAGCTCACCCCTTTTTAAAGAAAAAGAAACATTGTTTAGAACTGTTGATTTAGTTTGACTCCATTTTGCAGTGACGTGCTCAGCTTTAACTTTAAACTTTTCACTTTGAGCAAGTTGATTTTCAGTGGCTTTCTCCTTTTCGACTTCATCAAGCAGTAAAAAGGCCTGAATTCGCCTACAAGTGACCAACAACTCGGCGGTCATGGCAATGGCCGATGGTAAACAATTGGTGGTCGTCAGACGAAGACGATTCAAGAGAGCCAGTGACACAAAGATCACTTCTGGTGTCAACAGGGTGGACTGTTCTCCGTGTAAAACATACACCACCAAACAGGCAAAACAGACCACTCGGTAAGCGGTGAAGAAGATGGAAATGTTGATAGCCTTTAGAAAAGTCCCATTTGATAGAGCCTTGATTTCATTTCTAAATGTAGTGAAAATAGTTTTAATTTTTAACTAGCTAGTGGTAATGCAAAAACATACGATCTTGCGTCAAAGATGCGCTTTCCTAGCGGCCCTTCCCAATTGAATGCCTTTACACTGCGCATTGAGGCAATAATTTCAGTGGTCAGCTTCAGCCGAGTGTCAGTTTGAGTGGCTGTTTTCGCTCTAGAAAAGCATTGTTTTTTATTGTTTTTGCATAGCTAAAAAGAAGTTTAAACATACCTAAACTGCCCGGAAAGTTTCCCAGTGAATGACTGCAGCGGAATCAAGGCTAAAAGCAGGCTGAAACCGACCAGCGTTGCAGCCGTTCCGAGGTACGACCAGAGAATGGTCAGTATGGCGATGGTTTGCAGCGGAGCGATCACCAGATGAGGCGCAATGCAGCAGAAGTCATCCAGGCGGCCAAGGTCGGTGGAAAGAAAGTTGATCAGCTGAGCGGAGGAGGTGCTGGCCATTGAGGACTGACTTAATTTGAGCAGCTTTTGGTAGAGTAGGCTGCTGGCAGCCACCTTTGCCCTCATGCCCAGTCTCATATCGTGGAAGAGCGTTAGATTGTGCATTGTCAACAGAAAGAAAGTGGTCAGTATTAGCCCGAGGCCGTTCAGACAGGCCCATTTGTAGGCTGAAGACGAAAGTTGAGGGTCAGTTTCTAGAGCTGATGAGGGTGAAACTGTAGACAAATGTTTTAACATTTGGCCAAGCATCAGAGCTTGAATAATGCGCAAAAAACATTCTTCAAAGATGAACAGTGAAAGAGGAATCAACATGTGAGAACCAGCACAGCTGCGATAAAAAGCTGTAGCAAAATTTGGGTTTTTCTTGTTTAATTGTTCATTCCAGTTTCTAAAATTTATGAAGTATATTTAAAATGTGTTTTGTATTTTGTTTGTAAATGAATACTTGCTTTGATAAACTAGCAGAAAGGGCTTCTGCTTCATCAGCTTTTGGGCACTTAAATTGATGATCAGTTTGAAAGTGACCATGCTTGATGATGTTGTAGATGGTAGGTAAAGTGTAACTAAAATTGATTGGTGTGTTTATTTAATAAAAACAAATTACAAAACATTACCCATAAGTAAGTCTTGAAATCAAGCTGGCATTGTCAACGGGAGCTAAAGTTTTAAATTGTGATTTTGATTTCATTTTTAAAAGTTTGGCAATTTATTTTAAAAAAACAAAATAGCAATAACATTAAAACATGCTGTAAAATTTGTAAAATAAAATTTTGTAATGATAGTTAGTTGCACTTAAAATTAAGTTAATTGATGATAAAACAAAAAGCGTAAAATAATAGTTAAATTTTGCGATTTCATTTAAAATTGCAACAAAAAAGATAAAAACAAAACATCTGTTTGGTTGATAAAATATCACAATTGCTTTTACTTAACACACAAATGTACTAAAAAAATTATGTTGTTTAGTTTTAACAATCTCATTTGCATATATATTTTTTCAAAATTGCACATTTATTAATGCAAAAGTGTTATTTATTCTGACTGTTGGTTTTTAGTTTTTAGCTCTACTGTCATTTTTCAAATACTGTGCTGACTTGTCACTTAAGCCAATTTTTTTATTGCCATCATTTTTAAAACAAGTAATGCAGATGTTGATCCTGTTTTTCAGTTTATCTGTAATTTTTTTAAAAACGTTTTACTGATAACGTAAATTAAATCAACAGCAGAACAACAAATTTTTCACTAGAAAACTTATTTGTTGCATTTTTGAGTGTTAGTTTAATTTAATTTGTTTATTGACATGTTGTGTGATTTAAACTAAACATAAAAACTAAGATAACAAAAATCGTGACACTTATTTAATTTTGTTAGTTTAATTTTAAAATTTTACTTTTTAACTTTGTTTTTTAGATTAACTAAAACTATATTAATCAATAAAAACATTATAATTGTTAACAAAATATTAAATAAAAAATAAAAAAGTTGTTTTACATAAATAAACTAGAATTTCAAGTTTTTAATAAGTTGAAAAGCACATTAACTGCAACTTTTAGTAAAAACATTTAGTAAAACTAAAGCACTGCTCATAATTAGAAAAATTTTTACAAGAAAGACAATTATTAGCTATTAAAAAAAGTAATAAATAACACAATTAACTATATTTTAAGTTATAAAGAAAATTTGAATGCAAACCTGGGCAGTAAAATTTAACAAAATGTAAATTAAACAAAAATTTTTAATAATTTAACTTGAATACTGTACAAATGAAATTCAAATGTTGTTTTTGTTAATTTTTTTATAATAACAAATTTTTATGATATAAAATCAAAAAGTAGTTAAAAATGGACATTATAGTTCATGAACTGGTGTTTTTTAAAGACTTTTCTTACTTTACCAAATACTTCAACACTCGACGAGCAATTCATTCACAGAATAACAAAGACAAACTTCAATCAGTTTACACACTTTGTCTGGTGACGCTGATTGAAATCACCTACAACTTGTACCTCATCTTCCGACCAACACTGTCACCTTCTTCAGCAATGATGCACTTTGCAGTGTTTCACTACATCAACCTACCAAGCCTGTTGTACCTATTACCGGCCGTTGCAGAAACGTTGTCCCTCTACTATCTTTACCTGCTTTATTTAAATAAAAGCGAAGGCAAAGCCGTGCTAGAGTTTTACGACCACATTGTGGTTGTCCGAAAAGAGCGCACTGTTCTGTGGTTGACTTAAGGCACTGCTCACCAGGCACAGCAAATGCTCCTCACTTTAGTTAATCTTTGTCAAGTGTTTACAGTGGTTTTAGGTATTCAACAAAACATCAATTTACGAAAACTAACTTAAATTTTTTGTTAGATGCTTTTTTAATTGTTTCACAGCTTCACTTGGCGGCTTTCGTTCGGCGGCACCTGTTGAATCCTGAAGTCAACTGGTTAAACTTTTGCCTGCAGTTGGTCACTGCTGAAATAGTTACTCTTTTCATTGACGCCACCTTTACCATCTACGCGCACGTGTGCATCCTAACGGCATCATTAGCTATCGTGCAGATGCTGCTCATTAGCGGACAGCTGAAAAAGTTGGCAACAAATCTAAAAACAGAAAGAAAAAACTCTAAGGTGGGAGTTTTCCACCGGAAACTTGCGCTGTTTGCCTTCAATCGTTTTCTCCGCGAAAGTGTCGCCTGTTTGCGACTGGTGAACGGAAATGCCGGCCACTTTATCAGCAGAGCTTTCACTGCCTACCTTGTGGTGAACCTTCCACTGAGCTGCACCTTAGGGGCCCTGCTGCTGGTCACTGGGCGGAAGATTAACACTGCATTTTACCTTTTTGCGGCGGCTTTCATGGTGCAGCAGTGGGTGTGCACTTTTGGGTTTCACCTGTTCATTGTGGGCGTGAACCGGCTAATTCATCGACCAGTGAGGAGGTTGATGCAACTTCAGGGGACTACTAGTGACTTACCGGGCACAGGCAGGAGCCTCACTTCAAATGACTTTAGAATGCAACTGAAACTAAGCGCCTACATTGCCGCCTATCACGTGCGATCTGAGCGCCGGTACGGGTTTGCTTACTGGAAACTTTCTCTAAATGTGACGATGATGACTTTTGCTGAGGTAGTTTTTAAATAAATGGTTAACAAATTTAATAATTTTTACTTTTTACTTTTTTAGTTTTCCCTGCTTTACTCACAGCTTTTGATGTACAGTTACATGTGGTTAAATAAAATTTAAATGAATAAAAACGGAAGTAAAATAATAAAACGTAAAATGGTTTAAAATTGTAGCTCTATTAAGATTTTGTATTGTTTTGTAGGGGAATTCAGTTATCTTATTCTTTAGAGACTAACCACCTTTTTCTCCAGAGACTCCAACTGACGATTGAGTTCAGCGAGAGTCCTTTGCTCAAGTATAAAAACAACCTTCTTTTCCTTTAGTTCCAACGTAGAAACACTTGTTAAAGACTGTACTTAGCTTTTCCAAAAATTGTTTCTAAACACTTCTTATTTTTCAAATTCTTCTTCAATGAGCCGTTTAACACCCTTTCTCATAGTATGGCTGCTGCTGCTGATATCATCTTTTTTAACTGTTTGCAGTGCTAATCATAACCCGACAATCGAAAGGCTAAACTTGATCGAGTACTTCTCCAGAGTTTCACCTGCTGATTTTCACCCTACTACTGAGATGGAAGAGGCTGCAAAGTCAATTTTGGAGCAGAATCGAGCAAACGGGCGAGAAACCCTCTCTTCTAAATCGACTTTCATTACCGCCTGTTACACACAACACCAGCAATTGAACATCTTCAACGGCTCACTACTTGTGGACGATGTCCTCTCTTTTTATTACACTGTAAGTGCAAAGTGTTTTGAATTAGTTTATCTCACTTTTTAAAATTTTACTTTTTTTTGTTTACTACTTGTTTTTGCTACTTAGAAAACCTTTCCTGAAAAAGCTCTTCGTTTCAACGGAGAGAACATACAAAATCTGTTGCACTCAACGGCGGAGATTATTGTGGCGTGCAACCCAAACAACAACAACAACAAAACCATCACCAAAACTGCCACCAAGTTTGGCTTCACGCCGTTCTCTGATTTGGTTTGTTTTGAAAAATTTCTTAAAAAACTAGTGTTTTCTAATTTTTAACTTTTCTTTCCTTTTTTCTTTTTCAGAGCCCAGCTCAAGTTGAAGAGGAGCTCAGCTCGACTTTCCTCGCCTCATCTTACGACCTGGCTTCATCAGTGGAGCACAGTCGACAGGGTCGTCAGCTGGCAGGTGGCTGCAGCGCCGCCGAAGTGGAGCCACTGCCCAGCAAGTTCGACTGGCGTGATCACGGCGTAGTGACGCCGGTGCGCATGCAAGGCCGATGCGGGGTAAGTCCACTTCTGACAAGCCACATTCATTTTACATTACACAAAGTTTTCATTTAATTTATTCTGTTTCAACATTTTCAGTCCTGCTGGGCTTTTGCCTCCTTGGGCGCTCTCGAGTCGGCCATTCTCATTCGTCAGCACCGGCAACGCCATCAGTTGCAGCAGCAGCAGCAGAAGAACGGAGTAATCAGCGGCGCAAACCTAACCAACTTCAACGCCGCCACCTTGGACCTTAGCGAGCAGCACCTGCTGGACTGCAGTGGGTGCCACTGCAATGGCGGCACCGACGCCATCGCCTACAACTTCATTCGCCAGCATGGAATCCTCGAGGAGTCGGCCCGACCTTATCTCGCTCGACGAAACTTTGCCCCAGTTTGCCCGGTGAACAGTGGTAGTACCGGATATATTCGACGATCTGTTCCACCGTCGTCCTTTATCAACCACAGCCCTTCACCGAGGCTGCACCGGATTTCCGGCCGATGCTCTATGGTGGGAAATCGCCTCTTTGGCGGCGGCATCACCGATCGCCGCATTCAACAGGCGCTGCTCAAGTTTGGCCCACTTTTCATTGGACTGCGCTCCAATGGTCGCCTTCGAAACTACCTCGGCGGTGCGGTGGTCGGTGGTGATAATGGCGGCAGTGGTCAAGGTGGAAGTTCTCGAGGTACTCCGCTGAGCAGTCTCTACAACAGCCTCTGTCCGCCGGGCGGCTCACCGAACCACGCCGCTCTTCTCGT